TGGGGGCAATTCTGCTGTTTCCTCTAGGGTTTCTATGAGTCCTAATTGACTTGATAACAAAAGTTATGGCTTAGTGTGAATGATTGAGGTTGGCAAAAATATGCATTTACATATTATCTGTATTTGTTCCTTAATTCTAGCTTCATAATAGTTCTTTCATGCTTATACTTGTCACTTTGAAAGTTGCAACAATGAAATTAATGATCTCTTTTAGGTTATACAATTAATAATAATGAAACATTTATTAAGCATTGTGTATGTACCAGGAGGTGGTTGTTGTGAAGTGCCGTCGAGTTGTTGCCGACCCATAGCCGACCTGCATAGGGTTTCTGAGGAGCAGCTGGTGAGCTTGAATCGCCGACCTTGCAGTTCAAACAGCTTTGCAGTCTGGCGCATTAACCCACAGTGCCACACCAGGATGCTTTATACCATAATCACTGGACTACAAACCAAAGGTCTGCGGTTCAAATCCACCAGCTTCTCCATGGGAAAAAGATAAGGCTTTCTGCTCTTATAAAGATTTTTTTGTTGTTGTTGTTATATGCTGTGGAGTCGGTTCTGACTCATAGCGACCCTGTACAGGGTTTCTGAGGCTGTAAATCTTTATGGGAGTAGAAAGCCTCATCTTTCTCCCGCGGAACAGCTGGTAGTTTCGAACTGCTAACCTTAAGGTTCACAGCCCTATTCATAATCACTACACTACCAGAGCATTTATGAAGATTTACAGCCTTGGAAACCATATGTATGGGTCTCTTGGAGTTGGAATTGACTTGAAGGCAGTGGGTTTGTGTTTTTGTTGTTTTGTATTTATGTACCAGGCATTGTATTCAGCACTTACATGTATATTGTAAATTTATCTAAGCTAGTTGGATCATGGGTATTTTTTACTGTTTTGGGGTTTTTTGTTTGTTTGTTTTTTTGCTGTTGTTGGCAATCTGTGATAATGGTTTCTAATAAGAGATAGGTGGTAGCTATACATTTCGGCTCCCTCAATCTCAAGCTTTTCAACCTTTTACAAAATGGAGATAAACATCTTTTGTTGTTGTTAGGTACCATCTAGTTGGTTCCAAATCATAGGGATCCTAGGCACAGCAGAATGAAACACTGCCTGGTCACATCCTCACAATTGTCATGTTTGAGCCCATTGATGTAGACACTGTGACAATCCATCTCATTGGGGGTCTTCCTCTTTTTTACTGACCCTCCACTTTACCAGTCTCTTTTTGTTTGTTTGTTTCGGGGAGTTATCTCTCCTGATAATACGTTCCAAGTATATAAGATGAAGTCTCACCATCCTCACTTCTAAATAACATTCTGGTTTGTACTTCTTTCAAGAGAGATTTGTTCACTCCTCTGGCAGTCTCTATTGTTTCTTAACAACATAATTCAAATGCATCAATTCTTCTACTGTCCAACTTTCACATGCATAGGAGGTGACTGAAAATACCATGGCTTGAGTCTAAAGTACCTTTGTCCTCAAAGTGAGGAAGGAGATTAACATAGTTACTGTTTTATAAGGTGGTTGTCAGATACAGAAAACAGAATTGTACCTGCCATCCAATGATAAATTTTACAGTGAAAGCAAATCTCAGGCCTAGGTAAATTTATTAGCAAGCCCAACTTTTTAAAATCTGTTTTTTAAGTTGTGCTGCCCGAATTCACTGTCCTTTTAGACTTCTAACAACATTTTGTTTTTAATATCCATTTAAAATGCAGACAATGGCATTGCATCCAGAGTTCCGCTAACCTAATTGTGCCTGGAGTCCTGGTGTGGTGTTTTAGGAAGAGCACTGGACTCCTGATGGGAAGGTCAGCAGTTCAAACCCACCTGTTGCTTCTCAGAAACCCTATACAGGGTCACTATGAGTCAGAAGCAACTCAACAGAACTAAACTTAAAGTGGAAGATGAACCATCAACACTCATGGAAACAGCAGTGAAGAAATCATACTGTGTATTGCATTAGGTAAATCTGCTGCTCAAGACCTCTTTTAAAGTGCTGAAGAGCAAAGATGTCAATTTGAAAATTAAGATGCGCCTTACGCAAGCCATGGTATTTTCAATAACCTAGTATGCATGTGAAAGTTAGTGAATAAGGAAGACAGTAGAAGAGTTGGTACATTTGAGCAGTGTGTTAGAAAGAATATTGAAAGTACCATGGACTGCCAAAAGAACAAACCAATCTATGTTATAAGTACAGTCAGAAGTTTTCCTGGAAGCTAGGATGGATAGAAGCTGTCTCTCATACTTCTAGCATATTATCCGGAGGGAGCAGTCACTGGAGAAGGATATCATGTTTGTTTTTGTTTTTTTTTAAAAAAGGAGGAAGGACCCCCAAAGAGAAGGATTGGCACAGTAGCGGCAGCAATGGGCTCAAATATAGCCATGATTGTAAGGTTGGCACAGGACTGGGCAGTGTTTCCTGCAGTTGTGCACTGGGTCACTATGAGTCAGTACCCATGGCATATAACAACTGGAGGAAGGTGGAGCAGCTTCCTCCAGTGAGGTTTTGATTGTTGTTGTTAGGTGCCATCGAGTCGGTACTGATCCATAGCGACCTTATGCACAGCAGAATGAAACACTGCCCGATCCTGGGCCAACCTCAGTATTGTCACCACACTTGAGTCCATCGATGCTGCCACTTGGCCAATCTTCCTCTTTTCCTCTGACCCTCCACCTTACCATGATGTCCTTCTCCAGCGACTGCTCCCTCCTGACAATATGTCCAAAGTATGAGAAACGAAGTTTGGACATCTTGGCCTGTAAGGAGCACTCTGACTGCACTTCTTCCAAAACAGATCTATTGGTTCTTTTGGTAGCCCATGACACTTTCAGTATTCTCCTCCAGCACCATAACGCAAAGGCATCAATTTTTCAGTGGTCTTCCTTATTCACTGTCCAGCTTTCGCATGCATATGAGGTTATTGAAAACACCATGGCTTGGGTCAGGTGCACCTTAGTCCTCAAGCTGACATCTTTGCTCTTCAAAGAAGTCTTTTGCAGCAGATTGGCCTAAAGCAATACGTCGTAGTCTGATCTCGACTGCTGCTTCCCGCAAGTGTTGATATTTGATCCAAGATGAATGAAGTCCTTGACAACTTCAATCTTTTCTTCATTGTTAAGAATGTTGTTTATTGGTCCAGTGGTGAGGATTTCTGTTTTCTTTACATTGAGATGTAATCCATACAGAAGGCTGTGCTCTTTGATCTTCATCAGTAAATATTTTAAGTCCTCTTCACTTTCAACAAGCAAGGTTGTATCGTCTGCATATCACAGGTTGTTAATGAGTCTTCCTCCAGTCCTGATGCCACGTTTTTCTTCATATAACCCAGCTTCTCAGATGATTTGCCCAGCATACAGGTTGAATAAGTATGGTGAAAGAATACAACCTTGTCGCACACCTTTCTTAATTTTAAAACATTCAGGGTTCCCATGTTCTGTTTTGAATAACTGCCTCTTGGTCCAGGTACAGATTCTTCATGAGCACAATTAAGTGTTCTGGAATACTCATACTTAGCAGTGTTGTCCATAGCTTGTCATGATCCACACAATCAAAAGCTTTTGTGTAGTCAATAAAGCACAGGTAAACATCCTTCTGATATTCTCTGCTTTCAGCCAAGATCCATGGGACATAGGTTTTGATTAGAGTCTTTCAAATGCTAACTAGCCTCCCTGGAGGGTATATTCTTGATTAATGTACTTCACATGCTAATTTACTGCCACAGATTTATATAGATTAAAACTAACCGACCCATTTTTTTTCTCTCCCAGCATACATTTAAGTCTCATAAAGTAAATCACAGACAATATGTTAACTTAATCCTTATAATAACCCTGTAAGGCAAATTTCTAATTTTATCCCCATTACAAAGAGAGAAAACAAAAACTGAGGCTTGCTAACAGAAGTCTCCCAGTTAGAAAATGATAAATTCATCTAAAATCTGCATAACTCAAACTTTCATGTTCTTTACCATGTTCTCAATGAAAAGTGACTGCTTTAGCTCTAATTCATATCTACACTGTAAACATTATTATATTGGATAAGTTACAGAAATACCGAAGTTGCTATTTAAAGTCCATTTCCTCATTTATGATGGTTCATGACTTGGGAAGATGGAAAATAAGATAGTAAGGGGTTCATAATGCAGACCCCTTCAAAATAAAACAGTTAAGGAGTTTAAGAATCATAAAATTGTAGTCTTTCCCATTCAATGCTACTTATAAAAAAAAAAGGTTGTGGATGTGAATGTATAGTTCAAGTTGTTGTTGTTAGGTGCCATCAAGTTGATACTGACTCATAGCGACCCTATGCACAACAGAATGAAACACTGCCTGGTCCTGAGCCAACCTCACTACTGTTGCCATGCGTGAGCCCATTGATGCTACTACTTTACCAATCCATCTTGCTTGGGGAGCTTTCTCTTTTTCTCTGACCCTCCACCTTACCAAACATGATATCCTTCTCCAGCGACTGGTCCCTCCTGACAAGTATACTCTGAAGTATGAGAGATGAAGTTTGGCCATCTTGGCCTCTAAGGAGCACTCTAGCTGCACTTCTTCTGAGTTGTTGTTGTTGTTGTTATGTGCTGTGGAGTTGGTTCCAACTCATAGCGACCCTGTATAGTTTCCGAGGCTATAAATCTTTATGGGAGCAGAAAGCTTCATCTTTCTCCCATGGAACAGCTGGTAGTTTTAAACTACTGACCTTGTGGTTCACAGCCCAATTCATAACTGCTACGCTACCAGAGTTCCTTAGGACCCTGGAATTTCTGTATGTCAGTAAGAACTCTGTAACAAGATGTGATGTCACAAGATGTATAACCCAACTAAAGATAGCTTCAAGTGTAAACGTTCGGGATTCTTGCCTTGTATATTAAAGTTCTTTAGCCATAATAAGGATATTGTCAGTTAATGTTTCTAGGCAATAGGTTTCCATCATGTGGGACCTACTTTGGTTAGTTTTAAAACAAGATTTATTATGTGCACTTTTCTTCATTTCTAGAATGCCGTGTCTTGAAGTCATCTTATTCTCGTTCTTCAACTGTTAAATATTCTGGATCCAAAAGTCCTGGGCCCTCTCGACGCAGCAAATCACCAGCTTCAGGTAGTAAATGGAAAAGGATGGATAATCACAGGTAGAGTGGGTCATTCAGATCCAGAGTGCCCAGTAATTGTTAGGAACCAGTTGTCATGCTCCTTTGCAGCTGTCTCCAAGGTGGCATAGAGATAACATGTTTGTTTAAAAAAAACAACAACACAAAAAGTTAAGACTATTACTCAAAGTTATAATTAAGTCTCCTGAGAGACTTGCTTACTTTGGGTCTGACACATTTTGTCAAGAACAGCGTTATTGTTCAGAGTCTGCTGCTGTTGGCATAAAAGCAATTCCTATTCTGGCCACTCTGTGTACTACATTCTGAATTATATGCTGTCATATGGTTGTGAATATTTATTTTTCTTAACATGACCTTTATTGATTTAAAACACACACCACAGAAATGTATTAACTTCGTGAATTTCCTCTGGCTTTTCCTTCATCAGACAATGTGATACTGGTAATGATTCTTGTTAGAAAATACTACTTATTTATAAGCACTACCTAGTATTCTTTTGTTTTATGTCCTAAACCTATCATAGTTTTAACTCTTCTGCGCCTTAAAAAACAAAAACAGTCGTGATGATCTCAACATAATTGGTTCTATGGGATTTGTTTGTAATAATTAAGGACAATGTTGCTATGGGGAAAATATACTTTTACATCAGAGACATTACACACATTTGATAATGACCACAATGCCCACTGTGTTAATGTCAATCCTATAAATCAACTGCATTGTTTAGACATCCCACTTGTGTTTGCTTTTCCTTCAGCACCCCTTCTCCCCCTCTTTCTTTAGGGCAGGTTGTCTTACCCTCTTTTGTATACACCTTTAAACCTGCTGAATAACCACTCTCTTTACTGTCTCCTCCTCCTTTGTCTATACTGAATGTGGACAGTAAAGAGGGGTGGCCACTACTCCAGTGCCTATTCTTCAGCCAAATCCCCAGGTGAGCCAGGCTTATGATGGCTTTGTCGCTCTGCTGGGTTTTTGTTTTTGTCTTTTGCCACATTTCTGTTTCCTTTTGCTCCATTTCCATGAGTGTATCTGGCTTGTCCCAGTGTGCATCTGTGCAGTATGAAACGCTTCACAATGCATTGGCCGCTCCTGCTGCCTTTTTTTTTTTTAAATCAGAGAACACATTGTCATCTGAGAATCGCCCACTGTGTGTAGTCAAAATTCAGAGTGTGATACGGGAGCCATTGCCCCGAGGGCCTGAGCTCTAGTTAGTTTTCTAGCAGATTCTGTTACTGGAAAAAAAACTAAAATTTAATTGTAATTTGACAATGGCCACAGAAGTGACTGTACATCCCCCTCTCGGCTCTGGGCCTAAGTGCTTAGGAACCATTAAAATGTTAGAATTCAGAATATTTATAATAGCATACTCTAAGGTACTATTGCTCTAAAGTATAAGATGCTTCTTGTACATACTAGAAGATAGCACTGCAGTCTTCCTAATTCTCAGAATACTTGTTTATTTCATAAAGTTATAGCCTTAATACTTGCTCTCAAAAATACTCAAAAGGGTAAGTACAGGGACCCCCTGCTATCTGAAAGTGGAACATTCCTAGGAAACCTTTGTAAGCCAAAACAATGTAAAGAAGATGTTACCATCAATTTACATGGGAAAAAATTTTGAGCATCACTAGACCCCCAAAATAACCCATGGAATCATACCAAATAACATATAAAACCTAAAATAACACAAGCATATATAGTGCTCACAGACCCTGCAAAGATGTGGTGGCTTAATCATGAGATGTTGAATGTAGCTTCACGGAAAGGAGCCTGGTGAAGTCACTCTGACTGCAAAACAAATACTAAAAACAAAACACAACAAAAGGCTTTTGCCTTTTTACCTCAAAGCAAAATTCCCCTTTGCGTTAGTGAAAACAGATACTGTACTTATGTGGGTCTTTAAGTAGGTAGCATAAAGTGAACTTTGAAAAAGTGGGGATTTACCTGCATTTTTAACTGACAGTACTTCTCTACTGTTGAACTTCATTCAAGTGGGAGTTTGCCCTGTGTTGTTGTTGTTAAGTGCTATCAAGTCGGTTCTGACCCATAGCAACCCTGTACAGGGTTTCTGAGGCTGTAAATCTTCACAGGAGCAGAAAGCCTCATCTTTCTCCCGTGGAGTGGCTGGTAGTTTCGAACTGCTGACCTTAAGGTGTGCAGCTCGATTTATAACCACTATGCTACCAGAGCTCCTTTTGACCTGGTAGTGTAATGGGTTACTATAGAGCTGCCAACTGCAAGGTCTGCAGTTCAAATCTACCAGCCACTCTAAGGGAGAAAGATGAGGGTTTCTGCTCTCATAAAGATTTACAGCCTTGGAAACCCTATACAGGGTCACTATGGTGGTGTACCCGAGAGTCAGTTCCAACTTAGAATGACCTTAAATAGGGTTTCTGAGGCTGTAAATCTTTTCGGGAGCAGAGAAACGCATCTTTTTCCCTCAGAGTGGCTGGTAGTTTTGAACTGCTGACTTTGAGGTTAGCAGCCCAACTCATAATCACTCGGTTACCAGAGCTCAAATGGCACACCACCACTACCACTACCAGAGTATCTCAAACGCTGGGAAATACATAAGTTGTATAAATACACTGAGCATATATGGCAGATGTAGATTTTTGTTTTAGGAGATAGATTTACAGATATTTTTGCATCAGTAAAATGAAATAAAAGTGGGCAGAGTGGTTCAAGAATCAGGTATTACAGTGAATCCAGTTAATCCATTTAAGATTCAGAGAGGGAATTTAACCAAACTGAACTAAAAACTTATTTAATAGCTACATTTGTTTTATGGATGAACTGCCTCAAATTATGGCTTAACAATTACTTAAATAATTATTTTCAACGAGAATTTGGAATACGCAGGACCTGATGAACCAAAATCTAATATTCTAGCCCCTCAAATTTTCAAGGAAATTCGCGTTTAGATTTAGATTAATAGAGTAAACTCTGTAATCCTAGGGTAAAGTTGTGAGATCTTGAAATCCACATTTCAAAGTAGTCTTTGTATGAGATTGAGTTAGTGTCTTCACTGATTGCAGTTCTAGAAAACAGAAGACCTACGTCAATTGCTGGGACTTCACTGTGATTCTGAAGAAACCTGCTATCTTTATTGATATCGCTTTCTCCCACTCCTCACCACCAGGATGAGAAAGTTTTTCTGTTATTTAAAGCCACAGTACTGAGAAATCATTGTGTTGCAAAACTGCTTTAGCTGTGATATGTGTACTTGTCATTGTTTACAAAATTCCAAACAGAGCTAGTAACTTTGTAAACATGATACTATATTTTTTGACTCTTGGAACAGAAAGGCTATTTTGAGTGAAGTTTTCCAGTTATATAAATTCCCCAAACAAAGCTCCAATGTACCGAAATAACAAAATATAGTATTCAATTAAGCTCATAAAAATTAATCTGGATAATATTCATGGGTAAATAGCTACCGATGTTTGAGTGTTAAAATTTGTTACTTTAAGTTTCCAGCTTGTGAATCATTTGTAGTGTACCAAGAAAAAAAAATGCTCTGAACGACAACAACAACAACAAAAACACGTTAAAACTATTTATCTTAAATTGAGAGAAGGGGACAAGAGGCTTATTTTAGGAGAGAAGTCAGGGTCTTTTGTGAAGGGGCAGTATCAGGTACTAGCCTCAGTGTGAGAGAGTGTGCAACTAGGCACGCTGGCCAGGTCCCCTTCACCTTTCTGAAGACTCTGGAGAAACCTTTGAGTAAATGAAATTGAAGACTACTCATTAGATAACATTTTTTCCAAACGGCCCAAACTATCAAAAACTGTGTTAAAACTGTAACTTAATATCTCTTAATACCTTAATAATGATCATTAGCTTGGAAATATGAATATGTAGTTCCTGAAACCTGCTAAATCCCTAGCAGCGAGTTTTGTTAAGACATTATATTTAGGCAAGGGATGTATTTCTAGGGTAGTGTAAACTGTTAAGTGTACTCTGCTGCTAGCTGTAAGGTCAGGGGTGTACATCTACTCTGAGGCTCCTTGTAAGAAAGACCTGGTAATCTACCTCAGAAAAATGAGGCATTGAAACCCCTGTGGAGCACAGGTCTACTCTGACACACATGCGGTCGCCATGAGTCAGAACCCACTCCATGGTATCAGATAGTCTACAGAGTTCATCACCTGCAGGAACTGGGGTTTCCCCTTTATTCCCTTTTCTATCACCATCCACTGTGGTGTCTGAATGCCAGTGAAAGTTGAAATAGTATCTGTTGCGTAGGAATTAGTGACCTGTGTAGGATTTTATAAAGAAAAATTTAAAGGCAGAGGTGTGGTATAATTCATTTTCAGCTCAAAGCAAGTTTAGTAACTCACTGCCCACAATAATTTCTGTTTTATATGACTGCCTACCACCAGTTCTCTTTCAGCATTCTGTAGTACCAAAACTGCAAATTTACCTTGCTCAGTAAACAGCCATGGCCCACATACTCCCTAGCATAAGATCTAAATTGGGCTTGCAACCAAGGAAATGTATGAAAGTGTGAGAAGGTGTGCAGAAAACTACCAAGCTTTGCTAAATACTGGAGAAAATAAGTTGTGAAGAAAAGAAAATGGCAGAATTATAAATAAGTAGCCTTCAAACAAAGTAATAGGTATTATGAAGCAAATGACCATTAATTTTCTCCTGTCCACCAAGGAGCCCTGGTGGTGCCATGGTTAAAGCTCTCTGCTGCTAACTGAAAAGTCAGCAGTTCAAACCTACCAGTTACTCTGCAGGAAAAAGATGTGGCAGTCTGGAGAAACCCTATGGAGTAGTTCTGCTTTTGCCTTACAGGGTCTGTGAGTCTGAATTGATTTGACACTATTGAGTCCATTAATGATATATTTAGAAAATGTGTTTGGATTATGGTGGAATTGATTTGGGAGAATCAGAAAAGCTTCCTTGGTTATTCAGGTTGCTACACATCAAGATTGTGAATATTGGTGGTTATGAAATAACCTTCTTAGTAACTATTAAAAACACAGCTGTCCATTTATCTACCCTTGCTTATTGGCAGGATATACTGACAAATGCTTGTTCACATCTCTAATTCCATGATGTTTTATATATATGTTTCTATCACTGTGGGAAAGCTATTATGGAAAATAATTCTAGTTTCACTCCTTCTTTGTCTGTTGTTGCTTTTGTTTTTGTTTTTAATGTCTGTAGTGCAATAAGAGTATTATTTTTGCTGTTTGCTGATTTGCCATCTGCTTTGGGCTTTCAAAGAATCAGAGCTTCACTGGAGCTCTGTTGTGCATGCACATAATGTTTTTACACATCCTGGTTGTTCTGAGTTTTAATGACCTCTGTTCTCTTTGTTGTCTCACGGTCAGTTAATGGAACTCCCAGCAGCCAGCTTTCTACTCCTAAATCTACGAAATCCTCCAGTTCCTCTCCAACTAGCCCAGGAAGTTACAGAGGAATAAAGGTATGAACTACAACACATGTTTGTGTGACTTTGCTATTTTGAATGACATAGTTGATTAATTTGCTCAAGAAGCTTGAACATGGGAACACGTTAAAAAGTTTACTTAGCATTTACTTGGACCAGAGAGATCGGCCTTTGACTTCTGTGCTCTGTTATAGTGCTGTTTTAGGTCAACTTAGTTAAATATTTGAGCTGAAGTGTTCCCATCTACAGAGGGAATACAAGCTTGTGGTTATGCTTGAACACAATATGGTAAGTAATTTTCCTATTACTATCAAATGATTTGCAATGGAAAACAACCATTGTTACTGCTGCTGTTATCTGCTGTTGAGTCAGTTCCAACTCATAGTGACCTTGTATCGTGTTTCCAAGGAACAACTGGTGGGTTTAAACTACCAACCCTGTGGTTAGCAGTCTAGTGCTTACCCTATAGCCCCACACCAGGACTTCGGAAAACACCAAAGTTCTTTTATAAAGTCCTGTTTTGATACTGTTAACAGTCTTGGTGACCTGGTGATACAGTGGTTTTGTACTTGCCTACTAACTGGAGTTCTGGTGTGGTGCTGTGGGTTAATGCGCCAGATTGCAAAGCCATTTGAACTGCAGGGTAGGTAGTTCAAGCTCACCAGCTGCTCCTCGGAAACCCTATACAAGGTCGCTATGGGTCAGAATTGACTAGGCGGCACTTAACAACAAAAACTAACTGGCAGGAAGGTTGGTGGTTTGGATCCATCAGGTGCTCTGTAGAAGAAAGATGTGGCAATCTGCTCCTATGAAGATTACTTTCTTAGAAACCCGACGGTTCTTCCTTGTCTTATAGGGTCACAATGCATCAGAATTGACTCGATGGCCACAAGTTTGGGTTGTTGGATTTGCAAAAATGGTGTGGGGACATGTTTGACCTACTGCAGCTTCACAGAGGGGAAGGAGAATCAAATTTCACATCAGCTCAAGGCTGATTTCCTATGATCATGGCAGAGGTCAAACTCCATCCTCCAACCTGATTTATCCTCTTCTGACACCAACCATCCCTCCCATGGCACTCCACTTCTCCTCTGGGTGTAATAATCCATTGCACTGAACATACTGAGCTTACAATGTTCACAATTCTGGGGTTTATTAGGGAAGTTGTTGTTAAGTGCCAATGAGTCAGTTCCAACTCATAGCAACCCTGTGTAGGATTTCCAAGGAGTAGCTGGTGGGCTTGAACCCACTACCTTGTGAGTTTAACAGTCCAGCGCATTAACCCACTGCACCACACCAGGACACCATTAGGTTAAGTTTTATTGTTGTTAAGTGCTGTCGAGTTGGTTCTGACACACAGCAACCTTGTATAGGGTTTCCGAGGAGTGACTGGTAAGCTTGAACAGCCGACCTTGCGATTCAAACTGACTTTGCAGTTCAGCTTATTAACCCACAGCACCACAGTTAGCAGGGTACAATTTTAGGATCAAAAACACTTGAGAAATGACAGTTCTCCAGGCAGGAATGCCTCTTCTAAGCAGTGCCTCAAGCACACCTCACGAGTCCTCACCTTCTCAGCCATGTGGCCCCTTTACCTCTATCCTGCTCTGTCAAGTGTTACAAAGGTTCTTTAGCCCTTCTGCGGAAATTTGCTCAAAGGACACCTCATTTGCACTGAGGGTAGAAGAGCCTTTCAAGTAAATTTACTATACAACAGAGTTTAACAAAATTTGGCTTTACTATAGTCTAAAACAAAGTAGAATACTAATATAACACACAAGTAGTAATACAAAAACTTTTGGTTTTCATTTTTTGGTGAAGAACTTAGAAATAAGTCTTCTTTGATGTCCTAAAAGTACAAACAGTAACTTGACATGATCAGCAGTTGATTTAATAGGCAATTTATCTGACAGAGAGGGGAAATGCTAAGCAAACCCAAACTTGCAAAATTTTGACAAGTTTAATATGATTTATTAGCTTTAAGTAATTTAAATTATGAGAGAAAATTTGCCTAATAAAATGACAGGAAATAATTTCAGGAAAGATTGAAGATTTCCTTTTGTGGAAATAACCATATTGTCTAATGTATAAACAGTACCCTATAAATAGGCATCAATTTGCTTCAATTCCTTGGTATGTTTGGTTAACATTGGAAGTAGCTTCATTAACAATGCATTCTCCAAAGTGGGTTGCCTAAATTGTTCAGATATCATCTGAGAAACTTTCTTTACCTACATATTGGACTTAAATATTTTTCATAGTAGAATGAGTGGTACAGGAGGTGGGGTTTTCCTCAGTGGATTCTTTCCTTTACTGGATTATGATGTTTGCTTTTCCTACTCTGAGAAAGTTGTATCTCCCACTGAAAACTTTTCCTATATATGATCATGTAAGTGTCCAAGAACAAAAAAAAAGAAATTTCTCCCAGAAAGTACAGATGATCTGTATTTGTACCTCCTAGTTAAGGGCCATTGCAGAGTTTTGACTGAAACTGATAGTACGTTTATGGTGAGGAGATAGATAGCTCTCACTTACCTCTAATTGTTGGAAGCGACTTAAGTTTGTCAGAAGAACCAGGCATTTTCTGAAGTAGTAAATTGGCGTAGGCCAATTCAGAATATGATTTCAATGGCATTGAAATTGTCAGTTCCCAAAAAGGCTTAATGATAGATTTTTAAAATCACGAGTTATTTTCAGCATTCCTTTCCTAGGTTATTTTCCCCACAGAAAATAGGAGGTGCACTGTTATTAATCTGAGTAATTTTCAAGGAAATTAAACATAATTCAAGTTGATTCACCTCTTCTCTAATCTCAGTTCTTTTGTCATTAGAAGCAAGTGGTTTCTAATGCTGGTGTTTGATTTTAATGGAGGGCAAGCCCCCATAAGCTCCAGTGAGCCACACACAGGGGCCATTGATCTTTCTCTTCCAGACCATTGCTCTAGGCAGAACTGGTGTCCTTGACACAGGGCTGCACGTGGTCATTCAGGCAAGTTGTGAGTACCTTAGTCCTTTTTCTGCATCTTGTCATTGTCCACCTCCTTTGTTACCCATTACTAACCTGGAATCCTGTGTGGAGCTGCAAGAGAAGCACTGGACTGCTAACCGAAAGGTCAGCGGTTCAAACCCACCAGCCAGTCCTTGAAAACCTATGGTCACTAAGAGTTGAGACCAACTCGATGGCTATTAACAGCAACAACAACAGTTACTAACCTGGAATCCCAGCTTTCTTTCTCATCCATATTCAACTCTAAGATCAAGATTGTCCTGTTCTCTTGTTGCCACCAGGTGAGTTGGTGGTACTTGTTAGGAATGGGGTCTGCAGCTTTACGACAGGAACTAAGGATTTCAAGGAAACACACATTCATGCTCTGTGTACACATCCACTCTTTCACACCTGTGCACGCATACTCACACAAGATTCATGGTAAATTGTATATTTGGTAAGACATTACATAAATTTGTTCTTGCTGTTCAAGGTTGATTTTATTTATTAGTAACCCCAGCAATTAGCTCAGTTCCCTAGCACACGGTAAGTGCTCAAGGATTACTTATTGATGCCAGGAGACAGAAAGAAAGAAAGTGTTATTGATTAAGGGAAATGTTGATTAATGATTTAAATGGAGATGTTGTTAGAAAACCACTGCCACTGAGTCTATTTCAACTCATAGTGACCCTATCGTACAGAGTAGAACTGTCCCTTAGGGTTTCCAAGCCTGTGAGTCTCTAAGGAAACAGACTTTCTCATCTTTCTCCTTGTGGAGTGGCTGGTAGGTTTGAAATGGTGACCTTTTTGTTAGCAGCCGGGCCTCTTAACTACTGTGTCACCAGACCGTGGTGCTGTTATAAGAAGGCTAAATAGTAGTGGCTTTTCCATGACACTATTCTTCTCCTCCACCCAACCAGAGGCCTGTGGGCTTGTTTATGGCAGTGAAACCTTCTCTGGACTATTTTCTTCATCTGTAAAATTAAAACATTTATTTTTTAATGATTTCTAACATGCAAGACTCCTGGTGTGGCACTGCAGGATCAACACTGGACTGGGAACCACTGGGTCGGTGATTCAAACCCACCAGCTGCTCCTCAGAAACCCTATACTGGGTCTCTATGAGTCAGAACTGACTCAGCAGCACTTTACCAAAGACACCAAAATGCTAATAAGATTCTAGCCCTTTAAAGTTGCTTAAAATACACTAGGAAGCTGAGGAGTCTATTTCTCTTCCTTTTGTTGTAAAGTTGGTATTATTCATTGAATTTTACCATAGACAGTAGCAGCTAAGTGAGTGACTGCCAGTGGGATCAGCTTTTTGTCCACCATGTCTGTTCTAACCTTTGCCTATTCTCATGGGTCGTGCCTTCTGCAAATTGCAGCTCATTACTGTTCCCAGCAATCTGTGGTCTATATTATCCTTGGGATAGAAAACTGCCTCTGAAACACTGCAACTAAGTCACATGGCTTACTGTATAAAATACCCTAATTTTGATGTCATTGTAAATCTCTAGTCAGCATCTGTTCACATTTGCATTGTTTTCTCTATTCAGTGACATTACAAATGGAGATTTACAGATAATTACGGTATGTTCGTGCTTTGCTTTTCTCTCCCATTTCATTTAAGATAGCTTATTAAGATCAGTTAAGAGGGTGTATCTAACAATGGAGAACTATTTTCTCCTGGGGAGTACTCTTTAAACTATTTATTCTGGTTAAGTGCTCCAGTGTTTGGGGGGTAGATAATCTTTTCCCAAAGAATCAGAGATTGACAAAAGCAAGCAAACCAATCCAGCTCCGCATGTACAGGAGTTGACACATCTGTCTATTTGTCAGGACACAGCATTTGGCATAGAAATCACCTCTGTAGGAATTAAGCACAGTCCTGGTAGTACAATGATTAAGTGCTTGGCTGCTATTGCTAGATCTCATCCAGCAGCTTCTACCCAATGGTTACCTGGGAGAAACACCTGGTGTTCTGCTTCCATAAGGATTGTTGTTTTGCCATTCAGTCAGTTCCGACTCATACTGACTCTATAGGACAGGGTGGAACTGCCCCTTCTAGGCTGTAATCTTTTGGTTAGCTGTTGAGTGCTGAACCATTGTGTCCTATGGGGCAGCTCTGCTGTCCTGTGGGGCAGCTCTACTTTCACATGGGGCTACTATGACTTGAAATTGACTCAATGGTACCAACAGCAGCAATTGGATGTGCTACCATAGTTTCCCCTACTTTGTGCCAGTTTCTGAGAATCATGTAGGCGTTTTGTTGGGGGCATTAAAAGACTAGAAGTGGAAATAGAGTGGTGCATGATGCTTAATTGCTGTCTATAGATGGTTAGTGGAATTTTTGTTTGCTCATTTAAGAAGACCTGAGAAATACAGAAACAGTGCCCCTCCCAACAATAAGCTTTTCTCTTGGAAGACCCCTGTGCTCCATGCGAATGCAGGCAGTCATAAAAGGTCACGTTCTTTGAGGAGCTGGCACAAAGCCAAGAGAGGAAGTCTTTTGAAAGCTTTCATCAAATTGTGACTAACTGGCAGGATGGGATTGGGGTGTAAGAAAGAGTGTAGTTACGAAGTAATTAAGGATCTTTATATCTAAAACTGAAAGATGTTACATTAGTTGTGCCTGAATGATCTTTTTTTTGGGGGGATGGGGGGAGTTTGTTTATCATTTCTTTTTGATTACCTAAAACCATGAAAGGTAGAAACTGGAAGTGATCTTATGTCTTTTAGTGCCTTTGCTTTATAGATGGAGAAAGTGAGGTTCAGAGATGTGCGGTGACTTGCTCCTCCATTGTCTAGTTGGGGTCTCTGACACTTCGTGGTCTCTGTCCATAATCTCATGGTTCTGACGTTTCTCCATCTCCCATGGGCTGCTTCAGTGGCATCAACACAGGTACCCACAGAAGTAATTATTGTAGAAAACAATGCTGTGTCTTTTAGGAGCGTGAGTTGCTGTGTTTACTGAATACCTGGGTTTAGATAAGTACAGACGATCTACATGAAAAGGAGTTGAGAGATTCAAAGTAAAGGGAGAGGAATATCCTGGTGTAGGAGAGAGGCTAGATAAAGGATGTGGAAAGATAGATAATTCCTGTCATCATCTCTTTTTGGTAGACTTGGAGGGGGAGATCACTAATAGATAGATACTGGATATGTTTCAAGTGAGGTCTACACTGTGTTTAGTAAAAGAATGAAGTATACAAAATGGGTTATTAGATTTTGTTTGCGCACTGGCAGTGGATTTTAATGGCATGGGTTGGAAAGAGTGGCAACCTGGGACCCAGTGAAAGTCTGGGTTGCATGGTACAAGTTACATGGTGAGTCTGTGAGTGAAGTCGGTCTCATCATGGGTAAAATGGCACAGCTGGCATTTGAAAGCAGAGCCAGCACACTTAACCACTATGCTCCCAGATCCTAAGGGTACAGTGGGCAAGCAAGCTCAGTCTGTTAAGCAGATGATCAGAAACAACAGGTCAGACCTAAATTATTGTTGTTTTTAAAGGGCCATCAAGTCAGTTCCAATTCGTAGTGACCCTATATAGAGGAGCAGCTGGTGGGTTTGACCTGCTGACCTTGTGGTTCCCAGTCCAGTGCTGATCCTACAGTGCCACACCAGGAGTCCTAAATTAGTAAACCAAAAACCCACTGCTGCTGAGCTGATTCTGCCTCATAGAAATCCTATCGGGGAGAATAGGACTGTTCCCTAGGGTTTCCGATCATATAAATCTTTATAGGAGTTGATAGACTTATCTTTCTCCCTCAGAGCAGCTGATGTTTTTAGACCACCACCATTTCAGCAGCCCAGTGCTTAACCCACAACATCACCAGGGCCCATCTAAAATTAGTAAAATTAAAAGGTAGAGCCACTCAGCAGACCTCCACTGGTTTCCTTCCCTAGGGTCCAGTTCTTGGACTCTAGAACTTGATTTAGTGTCTGTGTGTATTTAGGGAGTCTGGCTTTCCTGAAGGGCAAGGCAATTTGTGGTGACCATCACCTAGGGAGCAGGCATTTCTTCAGACAGATGCCTCCTCCTCCACCCCAGTGGTATCAGCTTGCATACTAGGCCACGATTGTACTGGGCCTATATTATACAGGTGCATAACTCAAGACTCTTGTCTATTTTTCTTTTGTCCTCCCTTAATAGTTATTAAAAATTTCTGTCCTAGTTAAACTAAGGAGAACCAAGACAGGAATCTTTGGCCCAATTGACCAGAGTATTAAAATGGAAACAGTGCCCCCTTGTGTGCAGTTATATAGTGCAAAGAACCTCAAGGAAGAATGACACTTAGAATTTCCTCAGTGCTTACCTCACTATTCTTTTTGGAGACAGACACAAGATGGTGTCGTGGTTAAAACTATGGACTCTGATGCCAGAGTCCTGGGCTTGATCCTGACTCAGCCATTCACTACCTAGATAGTCTTGGGCAAGTTGCTTTGCCCTTGAAGGTAAAACAACAGTAATAGAGTCACTGCAACAGGACAATAATAGAACCGATTGCATAAGGTTGAGAAGATGAATTGATTAAATACAGAGAAAGCACATAGTGTGTTCAGTACTGTTTTGTAAACCTGAGGGTTTCTAGTTTCAGTTTTAATTTGAAGGAAATTTCACTTAGAAAAAATATTAGCCTGCGATAATAGTGCACAAGAAGGAAAGAGAAAATGAAAGAAGTCAGACTCCCTCTTTTTTTCTTTCTTTTGCTGAATTTTCCTCCCAACTCTATCTTTCATCTCTGTTTTTTAACCCTCTCCACAAATTCCAGTCCTGTTAATAATTTATAGATAACTCTCATAGTAGCAAGTTACCCTAAAGTTTAGCAGCTTAAAACAATAAAAATATA